ACAGTATTTAATGGACTGCCTCAGTCTCCCAACTTAGGCTTTTTATTTTTTTAAAATTAATTAATTAATTAATTAGGTTGCACCAGTTCTTAGTTGCTGCAGGCAGACTCCTAAGTTGCGGCATGCGGACTGTTAGTTGCGGCATGTATGTGGGATCTAGTTCCCTGACCAGGGATGGAACCCAGGCCGCCTGCATTGGGAGCGTGGAATCTTAGCCACTGCGCTACCAGGGAAGTCCCACCAACTTAGGCTTTTTGAATCTTATCTGCATCTGGGTCTATGTTGGTACTTGATTCCTTTATCATGTTTGCCTTTTTTTCTTATGGGCACCCTCCCCCATAATTAGACTGAGTTTCTGCAGGAAGAGAGCTTGGATTTGGGGGTCCTTCCCCACCGCCCGCCCCCGTGGCCCCTGGTGCGTTAACTTCATGCACCAGCAGGGACTGGGGATCTGTCCAGAGGCCAGGTCTGGCACAGTCCTTACTGCTCATTTGAGGAAGTGAAACTTCAGTGAGGTGATTGTTTTTAAAAACTTCAAAATTTGAAATAATTTCAGATTTATACATCCGTTACAAAGACATTACAGAGGGGCCCCATATTCCCTTCCTCCAGCCTCCCCTAAGGTTAACGTCTCACGCAGGTAACCAGGGTGCCATTACCTCAACTAGGGAATGACAACAGTATTAACACAACTCCAGCCTCTGCGTTGATTTCTCCGGCTTTCCCATGTAATGACCTTTTCTGTTTCTGTGGCATTTCGTCCTCACATCTCCTTAGCCTCCAATCTGTGACAATTTCTCGGTGGTTCCTTTCACGACCTTGAAATTTCATGACCTTGACATGTATGAGAAGTAGTGCTCAGGTGTTTTGTAGACTGTCCTCAGCATGGGTTTGTGTGATGGTTTTTCACGATTCAACTGAGGTTATGGATTCGGGGTAGAACACCCAGAGGCCTTCTTCTTCTTCACGTCCCATGCCGTCTGCAGGCACATGATAGCAGCATCACTTATGCATGGTCACGCTCATCTTGGTCACTTACTGGGTTTCCCCCCTGTAAAGTCACTACTTTCCTCTTCTCTTAATTCTGTTTGTTAGCTACGAGGCATGAGTCCAGTCGACGCTCGGTGGAGGAGGGAATTAAGCTGCGCCTTTCTGGGGAGGGAGTAGCACAGGATTTGTGGACATCTGTTAAAACCAACCACCGTCGATCAGTGCTGTGGAGGAGGTGCTTTTTGTTTTTGTTTTTTTGCTGCACCGTGTGGCATGTGGGATCTTAGTTCCCTTGGGGGAGATGCTTTGACGTTTTGTAGGATACCCTGTTTCCAGCAAGGTGATTTTTCAGATCACTTTGCTGAGTGTTGAACCCGGGGAAACAGGCTGTCTTCCCTCTTACCAGCGTTCTGTTATTTGATTAATAAACAGCGTAAGGAATCCTATTTCTTTGAGTATATGTGATGCTTTATGAGATTTTTGCTGGCCGTGGCATTTTAATATTGGGGACTCTGGAGGCTGTGTTTCATGGGAGTGATGCCTGGGAACCCGAAGCTGAGAGGCCCTATGGGATAAGGCTACTCGCTTTTGCATATGAGACTCATATGACTCATGCATTTGCTTGCAAAGGTGAGCTAACAACTTATAGGAAGTGCTAAGATAACATCAATAGCAGACTTTATTTTTAGATACCTTTTCCCACCTTGAAGGCTATATATGAACTTCCAGTTGCTTGGGCGAGGTTAAGGAAAAAATATGGTTATAAGTAGCTCCAGCCGTGATGGACCCCATGGCAAGTTCAGCTGGCTCTGTTCTTAGGCCAGTGGTGTACTTACACGTTCCAGACTTCGCAGTCAGCTGCTCTTTGACTTCTCCATGGAAAACTCTACATAGAAGTCACTGTTTTTAGCATTTGACCGACTCCGTTACTGATCAGTGATTGCCAACCATCTTGGCAGAATAGCGGGAAGGGGAATCTCCTACAGGAAGAGAAGTATGTAATCGGTTTCTAAGGAAATAGAAGTCTGGATTATTCGTTTTTGATAATCTGTTTCGATTCCCAGTGACACAGGTAACTGAGGTGTAAAAACAAGCAATACACCCCACCTGGTGGCAGCGCACTCCACTGACGATTTGTTCTGGGAACAAAGGCCAGTGGTTTGCAATCTGCTCTCGCCTGAGCTGAAGTGTTGAAATCTGGAACTTTCTCTTCTAGGATGATTTCCTGTTCAGCGTCTCCATTTTAAGTGGGATCCTTTGCAGCATCCTGGCTGTGCTGAAGTTTATGCTGGGGAAGGTTCTGACCAGCAGAGCCCTCATAACCGATGGTGAGTAAGGCCAGTGTGTCTAGGGGCTGAGCTCACAGTGAGGGGAGGTGCTGTTTGGGTCACGTTTCGCTGCTCGTCTCGCAGAAGAGCTCAACAATTCGGAATCTGTTCCTCACTGCCCTCCCCTCCACCCAGGCTGTTTAGTGATTCTCAGGGTTTCCTGTCAGGGCAGATGTCTTGTGCCCTAGGAATTGAATACACTCTTCCTGAATCACCTCCACCGGCACCTCCTACCAGGGTGGCTCAGGGCTCCCCAGGCTCTTGATCATGGAGCACAAAGGGCTTCCCAGAGCCTTGCATTTGATGTGCATTGCTCCAAATAAAAAGTAAATGTCTTCCCTGGATTCCGTGCAGGTTTCCTTGGTGAACGCTCCACGCCCATTTCCCCCTCCAGCTAGTGAAACGCTTACCTGGGAGTTCAAGTTGCAGTGACCAGGGCTTTGCCAGGGAAATGAGCCGCGTGTTCTCTGCTCAAGACCCAAGCCAGGTGGAGGCGTCCCTCTGCGTCCTGTGGGCCAGGAGGAGCTTCCCGCGTTGGCCTCTGGGCTGCCAGAGAAGGATGTGTGAAAGTAGAAAAAGCACCTTTCCGTTTTTTGCAAACTAGTGCTGGCATGTAAACTAGAAACATGATGGACACTACTGCCTGCCTGTCTTCTTTTTCTTTATCCTGGAGCGTG